CCTTGGACTGCAAGGCCATCCAACCGGTCAGTCCTAGAGGAGATCACCCCTGGCTGCTCTTTAGGAGGCCAGATCCTGCAGAGGAAACTCAGACGTTGGCCACCTAATGAGAAGGAAAGACTCACTGAAGAAGAGCCTCATGCTGGGAAGGATAGAGGGCAAAAGAAGAAGAAAGGGACGGTAGAGATAAGGAGGTGGCTGGATGGAGTCACTGAAGCAATCAGTATGAGCTTAAATGGACTCCAGAGGATGGTAGAGGACAGGAACATCTGGAGGAACGTTGTCCATGGGGCCGCGATGGGTTGGACACGACTTCGCAACTAACAACAACAGAGTGAGGTCCTACAAGATCTCAAAGCCTCTGTGTCCCTCAGCATCCGATAGTTTCAAGAAGGACCTGGTTGGGATGGATGGACCAACTGCTAACACCTTCAGGAAACTTTCATCCAGGGGTGTCCAAACTTGGTGACTTTACGACTTTTGGACTTCAACTCCCAGAATTCCCCAGCCAGCATGGGAGTTGAAGTCCACGGATGTTAAAAGTCGCCAAGGTTGGAGATCTGAGTGGGATGGGTTGCATCAACTCCAGAATACTGTCCAAGGTCCTGAAGTACATCTTCCTATGCTTTCAACTCTCCATGGACTAAACCTAGATCAAAGGACCACAATGTTGGTTCCTGAATGGCCTCCAGTAGCTACAGCTCACCAAATGGAGCCAAGATGCTTATTGGGATGAGAATACAAATCCTTTTAGGCACCACTCCACCCGGAAATCGTGGAAATCCAGAATCTCCTTCCCTATCTCAGAGTTCAAGTGATGAGCCAACATTTCTACCCAACCAAGAGAATGGCTCACAAATGACATAAGAGACAGTCCTGCTTTAAGCATCCTTTGATTTGAACTTTTGATGCCACTGGACTTCAAAGGCTGTGAAATGCTGGGTCGTTTTTTTCCCCACTTGATAGCTAGAAGAATACAGAATTATACAGAATAACAGAGTTGGAAGGGGCCTTGGAGGTCATCTGGTCCAACCCCCTGCTCAAGCAGGAGAACCTATATTTTCAGATGAGCGACTGTCCAGTCTCTTCTTAAAAGCCTCCAGTGATGGAAGTACCCACAACTTCTGTGGCAAGCTGTTCCACAGATTAATTGTCCTCGCTGTTAGGAAGTTTCTCCTTAATTCCAGGTTGCTTCTCTTCTTGATTAGTTTCCATCCATTGTTTCTTGTCCTGCCCTCCGGTGCTTTGGAAAATAAGATGTCCCCCTTCTCTAGTTATAACTAGATGACCCCACAGAGAGAATTCCCTGCAGCGTTTCCTGGATCCCAGGAAATGTTCCATAAGGAAAATAGAAAAATAATGGGTGAGGGGCACACATCCCTCCCGCCCTAGGCCAGGTGCCTCCCTCTGTTTCCCCATCAACTGGCAACCTCCTTAATGCCCAGTGTACCAAGAGACAGATGAGGTTGCACCCAGAGCCAGCACAAGTTCATCTGGCCTGCGCCCATGGTCCAGCTGTTTTATGCCCTGCATTTGCTGGAATCAGTCTCTCTCTCTCTCTTCTCTCTCTCCTCTTTCTTTTTATCCCTCTCTCCTCTTTCTCTCTCTCTCCTCTCTCCCTCTCTCTTTCTTCTTCTCCTTTCTCTCTCTCTCTCTCTCTCTCTCTCTCTCTCTCTCTCTCTCTCTCTCTCTCTCTCTCTCTCTC